TTGAGGGTATGTAAGTGTTGGTTTAACACTTGGAAAGGGTTCTCCTCTTTAAGAGGTATAAGTCTTGCCTTGTTGCTTTGCTTTATTTGCTATTTTGCCTATTGTTTTTAGGCTGTCTAAACTCTGAAATTTTGGGTAGAAACTTGTGGTGTAAGGCCAATAAGGGTAGAGGGGTGACTCACCATTCTTTCTACCTAGCTTCTTAGGCCTTTACCCTTGTGTTTCCTACCTTGTTGTCACCCTTTTTTTGAGGTTTTTTATACTAAATCTTAAAGCTTTTTCAGTGGCTAAAACCATATTTTGAAGTCCCAAAAAAGCAGGGGGTAGCCTTCCATCCTTGTTCTTGCTTACTAGCTTAACATGCTCCATGTTTTAGCTTATTGTTCTAATTTTTTTTGTTTTAATTTCACCATGTTTTAGGACTGTTTTAGGACTATTTTTGGTTGTTCATTGCATTTGAGCTTTGTATAGCATGCTTGTAGTGTAATTGTCCTCATAAGCTTGGTGGTTTAGGCCTTAGCCACCAACCTATTTAAGTTGATAGTGTTTATTTCTTACTTTCCATACTTGTGATCACCTTTAATCACCTCTGCAACCTCCCTCATTTCTTGGCTTTTTCTTTGCTTTGAAAGTTATTTCAAGCTACTTGTTTGTTTAAGCTTGAGATTGAGGTCTTATGCTTAATGGTTTAATCCCTTTGGGGGTTCATTACCAACGACATGACACTTCTCTCATGTCAAAAACAACACTTGGTGTGGTGCTCATTTCCATTAGAGGATTCAAAGCTCACTTTGAGACTTAATTAACTAAGGAATGGTTGGTAATTAAAATAAAGTAATAAAATGAGGATTAAAAGTGATGCAAGATAATAAGCAATTGGTGTTCAATCAGATGTTAATTGAACACATGAAAACTTCAGGCATTTCATACTTGCTAGTGATGAAATAGTTCAAGTCTCCAAGGTCAACCATTTCCCTTGATCAATCCATGATAGGGAGGAGGTTTGAGAGTCTTTTATGTTGCATTTATTGAACTTGCACACTTTGGTTCATAGGCTGTCATGCAATGAAATTGCATCGATTGATGGTTTGTGAATCAAATTTACCACTCATTTGAACTGTTTTGATGATAAGGAGGGGTAAGGAATACAAACATACCTTGAGAAATACCATGTTTGTGCTTTGTATGCTTTCTATTGCAGCAGGGGGAACCAAGCATCAATGGCCAACAGCCTTTATTTCTAGATGGCAGGCTATCATTTGTGGCTAGCCAGCCATAACTTTTGGCTTGCCGGCCACTTTTGTCAATTTGAGCAGCAGTGTTTTTGGAACAGAATAGAGTAGTGGCTGAGGGGAAAGATGTTCCACTGTGCAACAGAAGCGTTCTGGCTGCAGAACAGTGTGCTTTTCGGGTGGAAATCCGCGTATGCATAAGCATCCCTCGCTTTCTGGGGCTAATTAGTTAATTTAATTACTTTGTTTCATGTTGTAATTAATTAGTTAGCTAGTTAGAATTTTGTAATTAATTAATTAGTGTAATTAATTAGTTAGTTCCAATTTGCAATAATTAGCTAGAATAGTTAATTAGTTGTGATGTTGTAATAACTAGCAAACATAGTTAGTTTATTCGGTTTGTACTAATTAGTTAATTCGTTTTGTAATAGCTAGTTAATTATCTTAGCTAGATTATTCATTCAAACCCTCCTGCGCGAGGGCACAATTGTAATAATGTGTATGTCTTCCAACCCCACGTTTTTCTCCTTTTTATTTACCTGCTTATGATGGTTAGTTTAGGGCATCATGTTTTGTTTAGCATCTCTCATGCCTTGCATCCATTGTCTTGCATGCATTGGGCTCGGTGCATTATTCTAATTTGCATTGTTATTGCTTACACTTCTTTGAATACGTGCTTAGACTGCATGTTATCAAATTGATTCACATGCCATATTAGTAGTTGAGCCTAGTAATTGAATATCGCATGCGTTGCATTAGTCATTTTGCATCCGTAGGATAATGTATTTTTTCTAACTCTTTTATTTCTTTTGGCTTGGAGTATTAGGTGAGCTCTTTTGTGTTTTCATTGTATGTTAGTGTTACCATGTCTAGCATGCTTGCCATGACGCTAAATGCTTAATTGATAAACTGCTTAATTGATAAACTGCTTGAATGCCTATGGATGAAGGCTAATTGCTTGAATTGGAACTATTTGAGTAAAGTACATATGTGATCACTTTTTCAAATGGTACATATTCAAAACAATTTTCAAAAATAAACATAAAATCAAAATGTTTCAATTCTTGCAAATTAGTCTATACTTGTGTGCATATCACATAGTAATGTTAGTCTAATAAATCGGAACAAGAGCATAAAATGTAGATAAGATTCACATCATGATTAGTAGAGACCAATCTTTGATTGGGTGAGCGGGGGTGCTCAATTCATGACCGTCCCCTCTCGTACCTATGTTCCTGAGCCGAGACAATCTTGGTGATGACGGACACGTGGCCTTTGGCACGAGTCATGGGTTTTCTAAATTTCTCAAAAATATTTAGGTGGCGACTTTGTATCTAGCAAAGCAGTTCATTTTTGGTATTTTTATTCAAAATTGATTTTCCAAAATTTTTTTCAGATTTGGGCTCTTTGGTGTTTATCTATTTCACATTACATTTGTGAGATCAGATTCAGAACCGCGGAAGTCCAATACTGTAGGGCTTATCGTCTTCCAAAAGGAGTGTGAAAAGTCGAGCTACAGAGATATAAAATGTTTGTCGCACGAGCATTGCATGTGCATTCACTTTATATTTTTGTTAAGATTCATAAATTGTGTTAGAGTATTTCTACTGAGCTTTGGCTTACCTTATGTAGGAAAACCATTTTCAGGTGCTGATGATATGCCTCCACCAAGAACATAGCTTTCAAAGAACTTAGAGCTGAAGGCTTCGTTTTGTTTATTTGTTGTATTTATTTCTGTACAAGCCTAGGGTTTTAACTGTATTGAGCTTGGACTCATTTTTATTGTAAGCAAGTATCGTCTTGGAAGGTTGTAGCCTTTAAGGTATTTTATTACCTGTTTTGCTAAGATTTCATATCTTTTGTCTATAACACATGCTATAGATTTAGGGTTAGGACTCATGAAAGTATAACCGCATGTGTTACCTTTTGTACATTCGAGATCATATGAAATGGAAGAGCATTATATTCTGTATTGTATTTTTATTTCATTATTATCATGAGATGGTTTTATTGCTAGTTATTTCGAGGCGTTACATTTCCAATGTAATCTTTGTATTTGAGTGTGACGTTGGGTGTTTTTGTTACAAGTTCTTCGAAGGTAACATTTTGTACTACTCTTTCAAGACGCTGCTCACAACAAAGAAGCAGGTTAAGGTTCCTAATTGATTCTGTAATTCAAAATTTTATATCATAACTTGAATACACTACTGATTAATTTTGAAATGTTCAGTACATCTCTCCCTATATATATATATATATTTGATGTTCTATTTGTTTAATCGGTGCAGATCTTGTCCAGATCGAGATCTGTTGACTCTTCATCATCCAGATGCACCGTTAAACAGATTTACTGACTCTTCATTTGTTGAACAAATCTCATCTCTTTCTCTCTTGATCTATTTTATTTTTTATTTTTTATGTAAGTTTAGATCTATTGTTGTTGTTGATTAGTGTAATGGTCTCCAAACTTTTCTTTTTATTTTTTTATTTTTATCTTTTATGAATCTGTGGTGCAACAGATTAAAAAAAAAATTGAACAAGTAATTAAATTTGGATGGATAGATTAAAACAGATAAGTGAAAAAATTGAACATATAAGCAATTTCAACAGATATATATTCCAACATATAGATAAGTTAAAACTAAGAATTTCAACACATACACACACACAGAGAAAACAGAGGTGTAAAAATTCAACAGATTAGGGGTAAATTTCAATAAATAGCAAGATTTAAAATAGATAAGGGGAAAAAAATTAAAAAGATAAGGTAAAAAAAATTGAACACAGAGAAAAAACATTGAATGGATAGGGAAAAAATTTGAACAGATAGGAAAATTTTTGAATAGATAAGGAAAAATTTTGAACAGGCAGTGAACAAAAGTCAACAGATAGATTAATGGGTAAAATTATAAACAAAATGTCATCCAAAACCAAGAAAGGGACTTCTCATCAAATTATTTCACAAATGGTAGATTTCTCACTAATAAAAAATATCCACTAAACCTAATACCTTATACCCTCCTTAGTTTGGACTTTTCAATAATTATCCCAATAAAATTTGAGTAATGACAATGGATCTACCTTGATTTAACTCAAAATTTAAATAAAATTCAATTTAATATAAATTTGAGTAAAGGAAATTTTAGAGACATTTTATTCAAATTTAAGTTTGAATCAAGATTTGAGTGAAAATTTATTATGATATATGATTTTTGGCTATTATGATAGTATAATATTCGATTTTCTCACAAATAATTTTAAGAGTTGAATTTGAGATCTCACACTATAAAAATTGTTACACAATCACTGGGTTAAATGTCTTGCTTAGAACTATTGTTAATTATAATCTATTATGATCAGTAACATATATTTGCTTTTTAGATTCAATTATAAAGAGTTTTCTTATTTTATTATCAATCAATAGGAAAGTAATTATAAATATAAAAAGGGCTGGACTTCCCTCCAGTCGGACGGGAGGCTGTTGTTGGGCCCGTAGAGGCTCACCACGGATTCCGTTTCGATAATCCGAACCATTCAATGTGTAAAACTTGTCAAGTACTATATGCCTGTAAAAAATCATGTTGATCAGATATTGATAGCTATCTTATCGGAATTCATGTTAATGTTTGGACAATCCATGTACATGTATGTCATATTTTATTTATATGATTACAAGAGTAATTGGAATTCATGTTAATGTTTGGACAATGATGGACATTAGCTGTAATAGTTATTGTGCTCTCACTTGTGGTTTTTCCCTGTACAAAGGTTAATGAACACATTTTATGCGTATGTGATGGTCCAGTAGTGGCTTTTGTACATTAGAAGATCGTACTATATGCACAAGGCACCGGCTTATAACATGGCATATCACGTACTCAATCAATCCAAATGTTAAAGACATTTTGTTCGTTGTTCAGATCAGAGACATGATTATTTAGGACTTGTTGTTTTGACCAAATGCTGGTTATGATGGTTTGAACACTAGTATACACAAGACAAGAACACAAGAAATGCTTAAAGTCAAATATAACAGTGGTTTGGCTTCCTTCAACCCCGAGCTTTTTTCTTTCTTAAATACTGCCATGTTGCGATACTGAAAGAAGCAAGGGCACCCTTCATCGACTTGCCATTTTCCTCCTTTTTGCTATGATCGGCTTCCTTTTCATCAGCATTTGTATTGTTAAGAAAGAACAGCTGGTTCAAGAATGTTTCCAGCCTCGGCCTTCTCAAGTGCAGCCTTTTCAAAAGTTGCACAATTGTTGAAATGTTTTCCTCTAGCTCCCTTTCACTGAAAGATTAATAATAAAAAAAATCTGACAGCTGTGCATACCATAACATGAAAATAGTTACAATCTATGTAACACAAGCATGATCACATGGCATGATTGATTTTAAAAAAAATACAAGACACGATATGATTAGAAAGCCTATGTAAAGCATGATGCACCAAAATGTAAATTTTATTGCAGTAACTCAACAAGTCACTAAAAAAGGACAATATTACAAGAATAAAATCTTATCGTACGATGCAGAGTTACAATGTCAAAATGAATTAATAGAACGATCATGTCCCGCTAGAATCAAAAACTATGGGGAAATGAATGGCATAATTCACATTAGAGTGAAGCAAACTATGCCCATTTCAAATGAAACTATAAACAAACAACATGCAAATATTTATCCATAAATACCAAATAAATAAATTGATAAATATTTATGAATAGAAGTAAATCTAGGAGGGCTTTAAAAAATGAAAAGTTACATTTAAACCCACCTCATATCCAGTGCAGAAGACAGCTGCTTCAATTCATCAAGCATGCAGTTTGCTTCAACAAGAAGGTTTCCATCCTCATCACCCCAAGTCTTCTTCTCAAAGGCTTTAAACAAAGCAGCAGATACAAAGTTTATACCATTCTCTACCTCCACCTAAAAAAGATATACAAGGAAAATAAAAAATAAAAAAAATTAAATTTAGATCCAAATCCTTTTAACATTCAATAATGTCAATCAATTTCGCATTTACCTTTAACTTCGAGGCACTAGACACAAATTTTGTAACGTTTCCATCTCCTGCGTTCTCCACCGACATTAAAGCATCAGATATTTGCACAAAGAGTCCAAAGTACATTTGCACGTCGCCTTCATTTATATTCTGACTGTTCATCTTGTGATCTGCCATGGCAGCTAAGTTTGAAGGTGGAGCCTTAGATGTCTCCCCCTGATTGTGATTAGCTCTATCCACTTCAACCGCTGCAGTTTGACCTCGAGGAGCTTTGTTGTTAATAGGAAACAACAATCTCATGATGTCCTCTCTTCTCCGGGAAAGTCTCATGTCCACAAAAATGGCATCAGGACATGAAAATTTCGAACAATTTTCTCCCAAGCTCGCTATAACAAGAGGATTCCCAATCTTCTTGCACGCTTCTGCTAGTACATTTACATCTATTTTCACATGATTCCTCCTCCTAAGGACATCATTGAATTCCGGCGGTAGCCCCTTAGTAATATCACTCCTCCCCATCAAATCAACAAGTAAATCAAGATACTTTCCAGTTCCACAGTTCACACAAAGCAAGCACAATGTAACCATCAATCTCAACAACAGCAGTGGATAGTAATGATTGAAATTGATATGAGATTTTTTAATCCATTCCGCTGTATCTTGCTGCTTGTACAAGAAATCCTTGATTATGGTAGCCACAAAATCATAAATGCAGCTCATAGAAAATCGATTGTCAGTTACTAAATTAGCAGTTCTGATGGCATTTGATTGCTCGCAAATAAGCCATTCAACAAACGAAGATTTTGTGGTGAGAAGGAATCCTTGAAAGCCAGATGCAAATATCAAAAGTCGCTCTATAAGATACAAGAAACAACTAGGCGATATATAGTCAGCTTGTCTCCAGTTGGCATTATAATAAGTATCTTTCAAAGCTTTGTAGAACTTGTATACAGAATACACCGCTCTTGGAGCCTCACAGGAATTGCCTGATGCAGATTCCTGCACAATTTCTGAATTTATGTTTCCACTTAGCTCCTTAATGAATCCACCCCAAGGTGAATTCTTTTCAAAACTTTTTGCAATCTTCTTGTATAGTTCATCAGTTGGCTTTCCTGAACCAAGCCATATCATCAAAATCCTCCCAATTTGGCCATAGGTTAGGTCACCCTTGATGTTTTCAAGAATAACCTCCTCAAGAACGTTCCGGGAAAGCTCACTCCCTCTTAGAGAAATCATACTCTCTGTTAATGATTCCCGCCAATCTAAAGGAAACACATTCTCTAAGTATGCAGTAGATAGGTTCAGAAAACTTTGCAAAGTTTGAGTTTCATGGTACTTGTATGAAACATACTTGGACCCCAAAAAAGAGTTTCTTAACTCAAAGATATAAACGAGAGGCATGCTTTGGCAAAAAACAGACATTGAATTTGAAGTTGCAAGCTTATGAAGTGCCTTGAGAGTTTCCAACACCTTCATACCAACAGAAAGCAATTCTGAGCGCCAATGAGTCTGAGCGGCGGAAACAAAATGGCGTGCATCAGCAGAAACCAACTTTCCATTTCTGTGAAGAAATCTGTCATCAATTTCCCTCACCCAATCAGCATCAGCATTGAGAAAATGGATACTGGTATTACCATTTTTCAACTGTCTCTTCCGCACACCAAAGTAATTCAAACAGAAGTCTCCATAGCTATAATATTCATCAGCATCATGAGTTTCAAGACAAGCTAGGTACTTGAAGATATACTCAATCTTCTCTTTCCAAAGATTCCAAAAGCAAATCAGCGTTACAACAGACACCTGGTTATGTGAAATGCTTTCTTGTGAATGCTTCATCAAATCCACTACTAAGTCATATTCCCAATCATACTTCGAGGTACTTGGCTGCAGATGAATATCCAGAATTTTTCTTATGGATAAGATTTCACCTCTGAGGCTTTTATTACCACGGGAAGCGTTCAAATACTGACTCAACTGGGACAAGTTAGATTGTTCAGTTGATAAAATGTTACCCTCGGTGCAAACAAACTCATAGAAGATGTCTGAATCTTTCTTTGCAAACGACTTGGCTTTAGCTAAAATCTCCTCCTTTTGCAAAAAGCACTTTAGTGGCCAACCTCTGCTTCCAGATGCCCACAGAGAATTGGAGAAAACGTACCTTAAAATAAGCTTCGACGCCTCTTTAAAATGTCCAGCCTTCCCAATCAGATCAGCCTTGCGTAGAACATCTCCCCTTAGCTCTGCAACCTTTGCAGCCTCCAAAAAATTTCCCGATTCTTCTTCCATCACTAAAAGCTCATCGAGGCAATCCAAAGACTTCAAGAAGTTGCGAACTGAATCCATCGAGTGAAAAGCTCTCACAAATTTCATCATGGATCTATTATCTTTCAGTTCATAGTAATTAAGTGCGCAACTCTCAAGAAACTGTTGTTCAATTTTGTTGATTTCTTCACTTCTTTTGACCATCATACCATTGTCTCTATGGGCATCTTGTTTCCAGCCTTGAATGTATTGTAAACCCATGTCGAAAAGCTTTCCTTTGGTGCAAACAGACAAGCACTCTGAAAAATATTTTCCACAGGCATACACTTTAGCTGCAAGTTTATAACTACCTGCCAGAGAGAAACATTCCCCGGCTTTGTTCAGCTCAGTTTCCCCACACTTTTCCAAATAAATTCTTCCTGCCAAGTTAAAAAATTACAACCTAGATGTCAAAACTTTGTTAACCCAAAAGTGCATTTAAACTTCAAAATTAAATGTTGGAGACTTGGAAAATACAACTAGAATGACAAAACAAGATGAAGACAAACTAGAGCAGGCAAATAATGCTCCAACCTTACAAAGGAAAAACACGAAATGAAATTTGAGTGCTCTTGTTTTGGAGCATAGTAATGACCTAGAAATTTGGCAAGCAAGAGAACCTCAAGGTTTATCTTAGTTTTTCAGCAACATTAAATTATTGGGAAATGATATTCACACTCCACATTTGCCTCCATATTTGGCCATGTAAAAATATCTCCTCATGCCAAACAAAATATATTAATTTGCAAGTGCACACAAACAGAGAAAAAAAGGAAAATTACTATAAAAAAAAGAAAGAAAGAAGAAGCTATCATTCAAACATTCTGTCCAATGATCTTGTTGTGTATAACATAATCAAAAAAAATTCATATTGGTAAAAAAGGTAAACCCTAAACCCTAAAATAATTTTAAAGATAAAAAATTCATCAGTTAGCTACTTATCAAAAACAATAATTTAGGGTATGCATTTCATGACGGAAAGGGTTATGCATTTGTGATTCTCCTCTGAAAGGAATCTACCCATTATCCCAACGTGTACTAGTATAGTATAGGTCAAATTATCTGATTAGTTAAAAGTCACGATTTGTCTGTATTTTTCAAGGGAAGTACCATCTTATGAAATCTAAAAATCATAAGCCACTAAATAGTGTTAAGTTGCATGAACTATATTGCAAACAATATTTTCAAATTAACAAAAAAATTAATTGAAAAACAAATGAACAGAAAACAATACCTGCTCTTTCATATTCCCCCGAGTCACAAAAACATTCAGCAGCTGACTTAGCCATACCTATAGAATCAAATAACTCAGCAGCTTCCCTAAGAACCGTGCAAGCCCCTTCAGGATTTGAACCACACATACGATCTGCATTTGCTTTAAGGCCAGAAGCCTTGGCCCTTTTTCCCCACATCGTGTCTCCAGCCCTTTCAAAGCACATCGTTGCCCTCTCATAGTTATTCTCATGATAGAGCTAAAGAACACAAAAACAATACACGTGTAAGAAAAATCATGATATGATTTTAAAAAGAAAAAGTGTGCTAAAATTAAAATATGGAGCAATCAAGCAGACCTTGATACCCCGTTTCTTCCACTCTTCTGGGCTACTTGCAACTTGCATTGCCTGTGCAAGTGAATCGTCCAATTTCCTTACTTGGACAAGGCACTTCTTCTTCCAATAGTCAAACATAGGCTTCGAGAGCTCCTCAGTATTCTCACAAATCCACAACCTTTGCCTCGTACGAGTAATTGCCACATATAGTTGCTTCAGTTCAGAACACAAGACATTATGTCTTTCCTCATCAAATTTCGGATAGGAACTGCAAGTACCATCAAGCATTCCTTGTTCTTCCATAAATTCATATATTACTCTCCATTGATTTTTCAGAGGTGACGAGCCGAAAAAGTTGTACAATAACACATCCTATAAATGATAAGAAATGAATCAAATAAGTAAAATATGAAAGACATATAAAAAGAAGAGACAAATAAATAAAATATAAATAAAAACTAATAGTCACCTGAAACTCTAGGCCCTTACATTCCACAATAGTCAAAACAAGTGCCTGCTTTCCAACATAGTCAGATATTTCCTTGCTGGCACAATCATCTCGTACTAATATGACCTGCTCGGCGCCAAAGCCAACTATGTCCCCACTGACATTTCCACTCTTTCCAAAAATAGTTACAATTGCATTTTCATCATTTCCAGACTCAATAAGAATCGGAGCTTCACCGTATATAAGACTTGTCTCGGGTTCCAAAACATCAATAGAATGACGAAAGTAACGGTAAAGAAGGTTAATGACACTTTGTGCTAATCTAAGCACACCATCATGGGTACGGAAGTTCTGGTGAAGGCCGAAAATGTTTGATAGATATCCTTTCTCCTTTGTTCCAACAAATGCACGGCCTCTTGATTCCATCACGAACTCATTGTAGAATAGAGATCGTATATCTTCGAATCTAAAATCAATTCCCCTTGCAATAGTCTGCGCTGTGTCACCCGCAAAAACAAAGCCCTCGTCCACATTTTGGCAAATATACTTGAAAAGAGAAATTTGTCTCATTGTAAGATCTTGCACTTCATCAATATACACAAAATCCATTTTGTCACCCTCAAGTATTACATTTCTTAGTCGATAATGAAGATCATTCACTAAATCAGCTAAATCATATTCACCCTTTTTCATCTTTGTTTTCTCATAACCTAGAAAGATATCATAAATTTTCTCTCTCTTCTGCTTACTCAAAGTAGATACCCGACCCTCAGACAGGTGGACATAATCCTCTTGACTAAGTCTACCTTCACGAGCCTCACCCACGCCCAATCCACCTTTTATATGAGATATTATCTCAGTAAACACTTTGGAAGGATCGAGCTTCTTTGTTAGCGTAGAATTGAAATGTGGCCAGTACAATGAACCGAACCTCTCATAGTTAACCTCCTTTGTTCTTAAGAAAGTTTCCAAAGCAACTGATCTTGAACCACTAGTTCTACAATGAGAAAGTCTGCTTCCACCAAGGAACCTTTCGAAGTATGAATTGCCCAATGTTCCATCGAGCATCATTAAGAACTTATGAAATGTGATGACAAGAGGGTATTTGTTAGAAGCAATGTCAAGAAAAGAATCTGGGATATCCATAAATTGTGCTGTATCATCCATATCGGTTGAACTGTTTTCTCCAGAAAAATTCCCACCATCAGCAAACCTATACATAAAATAAGGCTAATAGTTAAGAGAGAGGGAAACAAAAGTACTACCCTTAGGCAGTTAACTCAGAAAGAGTAAATGTCACCTTAGGTCAACAATAACAATTAACAGAGATCAAGACAGACCAATTAATGCATTAATTTAGAGATCAATCATACAAACTATAGGAAACCAATTTGATAACATAACCTCCATCCATTGTATGACTGTTAATTTATTTGTATAGTATAAAAACTTCTGAGGACTTTTATAGGACCTGTTGCACACTCAGTCATCTAAAACCAAAGAGTATTCACTTTAGTTTGCTGATCACTAATTTGCACACAGTAAAAACAAAATACAAAAAAGGAACAGGTTGCAACAACCCCATAATTGAGCATCTAACACACCTTTTCAGCCCAGAAACATGTTGTTTGATAGCATAACACAGTTTTGGACTGACTGTCACAAAAAGTTGGCGCAAGACACTATCCTTAATCTCTACAACGCAGTCACCAACATTGTTCCTCTCGCTCACATCTGTACTAGTACTGGCCTCATCTGCATAAATTCCTTTTGAAGCAATATGGTGGTGTTGCTCCTTCTGGAACAATTTCCTTGTCAAAACTGTGGTTTTACCTGTTCCTGACCGTCCAAGTATAAATGTGCTTCTAGGGAACAAGATAATCTCTGATTCCTGGTCTGTTAATTCAAAAGGTAGGTCCAATTCTTTACCATCGCGGTCAGAAAGTAAGTGGCTCACCACACCAGACGATAAGGAGTAGAATTTCATCAACAACAGGCTCTCACTTACCTTTGAATTCTCAACATAACTCCTATCGTCAATTGTACCGCCACTTGACTCATTGCCATGTACATGGTTGTCAAGACGCTTGAACTGGACAATGTCAGAAGATCTCACCCAACTCTTTGGAACTTCCAAATACCTGAACACAAAAAACCAATCAATAAAGTTAATTAGCCTTTGAAATTCAAATATATAATATATTTCATTATGTTCACATTTAGTAAAAAAACAAACATACCCTTCGAAGCATTTCTGCTTACAGTGATCGATATAATCATCGGTGTACATAGCAAACATGCGATCAAGGCGTTTAGCCAATTTTGGGATTTCTTCCAAAGGCAATATATCCCTAACCTTCAAAACTTGTTTGTAAATTGAATCCTTTACAATGTCAATGGTGCAAACAACATAGAGCCCTTCAACCTTGAATTGTTTCAAGATCTGTGCAGAGCTCTCACAAACTGAGTCGACATTCTTCTTTTTAGGTCGCCAACCACTTGAAAGCTTCAGTAATAGGTTCATAACTGACTTTTTAATACGGACTGAAGTAAGTTTTCCAAATGATTTTCTGAAGTCATCGCTGATATAAACCTGGGGTGAACCAATGGGAAAAAAAATGTCAAATCCAATTACGTGCATTGTAAAGATTAAAAGTTCTATGATTTTAGAGATAGATAGAGGGATAATAACATCATTTAATCACAAGAAGTTAAATACCTTCCATCTAGCACTTCTGAAAAGTATACTATCCGTATTGAACAAATCATCCATTTGATGAAGCTCTTTCTTGACATCTATTATTGCTTTGGCCAAATCTTTATCTAAATGAGCATCAAAGAAACATTGGCGATGCCTAGCATCACGGACTATCGCTTCCCAAACTGATTCACTACTATCTAGTGTCTTTTCATTTCCCAAAATCCAAAGACAGTGCCTGGAAAGGAATCAAAGGACATGAATATTCAACATCTTAAAGCAAAAAAATTAAGAAGTAAACTGAAGAGGGAGTCTGTTTGAATCAATACCGAGCTCTTGTCAATGCAACATTAGTTCTCTGAAAACTGGACATGAAGCCAACAAATCCACCTTTATTTGATCTTACAGTAGAAATTATTATGACATCTGCCTCTCCACCTTGAAACCCATCAACTGACTTCACCTTCACTGTGAATCCCTCAAGGTTGTCATATTTTTGTTCAATTTTGTCTTTGATAGCCACAACTTGAGCAGCGTAGGGAGATATCACACCAATGCTAAGCTTCTTTTTGTAGCCTTCCCATGCTGTACACAACATCAACCAATAAAAAAGAAAAACAAAGCAAATCATTTAGGATGTGAAAATAAGAAGTTCTACAATTTTAATAATTCAACAGAAGCTTTTAATTTCTCCAATGGTGATGTTTTCAGTGTTTTATTTTCGTTTCTTCATGCTACCTTTGTTTTCTTGTTCTTTTTTTTTCCTCTGCGTTTACAGTCTGTTGAGTTATCGCCCTCTGCAAAAGAGTGAAGGAAAATGGTGCGAATACAACATTTGATAAAAGTGCTTCAGTACTGTTTGGTAATGTTTCTGAAAACTGCCTTGTGTTATTGAAAATAGAAAAACGAAAACATATCAAAATACTTTTTCTTTTTGATAAGTAGAAAGAAAATTTTATTTCAAAAAGGCATTAAATTTTTCTGAAAACTGCCTAGAGTTCTTGAAAAAAGAACAATGAAAACAACGCAGAATGCATATCAAATTACTTTTTCTTTTAGATAAGCAGAATATTAACAATTCAGAATATTAAAACATATCAAAATACTTTTTCTTTTTGATAAGTAGAAAGAAAATTTTATTTCAAAAAGGCATTAAATTTTTCTGAAAACTGCCTAGAGTTCTTGAAAAAAGAACAATGAAAACAACGCAGAATGCATATCAAATTACTTTTTCTTTTAGATAAGCAGAAAAAAGAAAAGAAAAAAAAAAAAATTCAAAAAGGCATCAAGGGAATGCCAACAAATTCAAGGACCAAGAAAACCAAAGATCTCTATACACCTCCAGTTGTCTTTTGATTGATTATATGGGTCTTGACAACAATAAAAAGGATTGTAAGTAGTATCCTTTGGTGCTGCAGTACTATGAAATAATGGTTTCAAAAGTAAAAATTCTAATTTCAAAAACCACATAAAATCATGAGATGTATACAATAATGCTCATAAAAAATAGGATAAATTACAAACAAACCCCCTGAGGTTTGCTTAAATTACAAATTACCCCTGTAGTTTTAGAAATGATATTTTGCTCCCTATGGTTTCTAATTTCATAATAAATAGGTCATTTTATTAATAAATCATCAAGTTAATTAATAGTTTTTAATAATGTTAAGATTTTATTTCAATTAATAATTCAGATACTTTTATTATTGTATAGGTGAACAGTTAGAAATTTCATTTTTTCAATTTATTCTTTTAAATAAAAAATTCTGACAGGGAGGTATTTGTAATTTTTTAAACCCCAGGGAACAATTCATATTTTAAGTAAATCTCAAAGGGTGTATTTGTAATTTACCAAAAAAATAAGACACATACAGCAAACCTTTCTATAAAGTATAGTACATATCAAAACAACAAAGTCAAAATACAGGTGCAATTAAATCCCACTTGACATACCTTTGTATAATTTCTGCACTATCTTCACAACAACAGCAACCTCTACCCAATTTCTCCGGCTACGCCCAACATCATCAACTTCTTCTTTACCACCAACTACATTTATGAAAGAATAGGGACCAAACATTGGCTCTGAAAGATAGTGTCTTTCGTAACTTTTCTTCATAACATATGGTGCATCCATGATTTGGTTGAAATAGAACTCTGAATTTGGGAAGGAACTTATTGATGGATGCATCCTGTACTGCATGTTTAGAAGGTGCTTCGAATGACCCAACGAACCCAACCTTTCGAACAAGCTTCTTCCAAATCCAGCTTCACTCGAAACCTATCAATCCACATAATGTTCAATGTATGAAAAATGAATCCTTGCCTATTTAAATTTGTAGGGTAATAAGACCAATAGCTTTAACTTACATTACTAATAACTGTTGCTGGTAATTGGCACTCATCGCCAACGAGAATGGCATGTCTCAGACCGGGAAGTTTAAGGGGTATTGTCGATTCAGACTCCTTCAATTGTGCAGCTTCATCAATAACCAGCAAGTTCAATGGTTCCATTCCCACTGAATATAGCTTATATGAACTAGAAGCAGTGCACAAAATTAACGAAGCAGTTCGAAAACAGAAGTCCTTAATTGAACCTTTGATCATAACACTTGGCAGGCCAAGGTCTTCAAAAGAATGTTTAAGAGATTTTAAAACAAAAAGACACTTGCTCCTTGTGTATATCAGAGATTGTGTATTTGCAAAAGATTCAGAAAAATCTTCAATTGGATATTGGTGCGAAAAAATATCCTCGAGTTTATCAGAAACAACACTCTCTTGAAACAACAAACTTTTCAAATAATCAAGCAAGTCAAAGAGAGTTACCATTTTCTGGAAATTATGTTCCAAAATGTAACTTCTTGGTAAATGAGTGCTGAATATAAACATACATTTTCTCAGCAATTTTTCAGTAGATTTAAATCTGGATCTCACAAACTCGAGAAATGATTTGAATTCTTCCTTTTCGACTTCCTCTTGATTGCGGTGTTCTTTTTCTATGATCTTTTGATTTTCCACAAAAACGTGGTATTGAGAAACACAATCTTCAAGCAAATCTATCATGGAAGTAAAACAATGCCTCCAGCCAGACACTGGTCCTAAACATTTCTTAAGTTTTTTAACACGATGATCCAGATAGATATCTTTAATGTCAGAATCCATTTTCAGCCGATCCTTATTCCCAAACAAGAGAATATCTCCCAAAGAACAAAATAAAGCATCCTTTGCAGATTCCCTCACCAACCGTAACACCCTCGAAGCCACTTCATTTATAGCTACATTTGTAGGAGAACAAGTAAGAGTTCGGCAATTCATCCTCAAAAGAGCAAAAAGCATAACACTGACAGTTTTAGTTTTCCCCGTCCCTGGTGGGCCCCATATAAGTTTTGCAGTAGGCTTGTGATTACATTCCATTTTAAGAAGAGCAGCCAAGACTGCCTCCGTTTGGGATTCATTCAGCATAGATAGTAGACTTGTACCAACGCTTTTGGTCAATTGGTACCTACTACGGACACAACAGAGTTCGCAATCCTTCTGAACCTGTTTTTCACAAAAGTGAAGTATATATTTTACTCATAGAATTCATTAAATTATGCTGAGTGATACCTGAAAAACAATTTCCATTTGCAAATGCACGTTCAAAAAGACAGTACATTTTCATTTCAGATAGAAGAATTTAACAATATAAAAGCAATTCCAAAATTTTTCCGATATAATTTCTTAAGAGTTTCCTATTGGAAGAAAAAAATAAAAAATAATTAACAAAAATCTAGAGAGAGCAGAGTTTTTGCATGATCAAATATAAAACAAATAGGCCATAATGCTTCTAGAATTTTGTTTTTACATCATTAATATGCAACAATATTTTATTGGATGTCTATATAATTGGTGTTATATTTAGTAGTCTTGTAAAGTCTAGTTGTGTGATTTATACAACCCTCCAACCCTTATTGTATCACATTTCAGTGCGTGTGGTGAACCTTGTTTTCGTCCCCATTCCTCGTATCAGAACAGTTTGCATTCCAGTTAACAGAGTCCAAATGAAAAGACAAAAAACACAGGATACAAACTATTTACTAACATTAACTTCGTATACACAAGGTACGATCGTCTTTAAAATTAAAAACAAGGACATGAAACTCAAACAAAACAATTGCATGCATGATAATCTTCTGTCACGATTCTTACCTCAGAATCAGCACAAAGAACTCTCTCGATGATCTTCCGATTTCCAAACTTACGTAGCGCACTCCATATTCTTTTGTTTGTAGTTATATTTCTCAAGAAAATCACAAAGAGTGATTGCCGCATTCCACCTTTGACTTCAATGTCTCTCGATGCTTTGACTTTAAAAAAAGTGGATGAATTATTACCTCGTCCATTCTCATCCTCTGTCTCATCCTCTGTCTCATCCTCCAACCCTTCTCCAATCTCATCCTCTGTCTCATCCTCTGTGATATTAGTGACTGTTGCAAAAGTCCATGTCCTTCCACCCTGTTGTAAATCATTTACAGTTTCGGGTTTTGCATCTGAAACTATAAAAACATCTCCGGGCAAGGTTTTGTAAGGATCATTGCCACGGTCGCTAAATCTGTTTCTCCAGTAATCAACCTCAATATCATAATGCAAAGTTCCATACAGCTCGCACGCATTGAGTGAGATCACTTTAGCAAAAGGTGCTTCATGAATGATCTCCATGCTTGAAGCCAACTCTGCCCGTGTTTCCTCCAATAAAGGAAAAACGAATGAACCAAAGTAATGCTTGACTGACTGAAATGATTCTGGAATCTTCTCCACCTAAAAATAAAGCAATGAAAGTTTAATGGAGGTGAAATAACGTAATGAAAGTTTAACGTTAAGTCGCCAAAGGAAAAAAAAGTTCAATTAAACAATATTTCTACGTAAAAACCATAATGAAGGCAAGATAATACAACAGAATGGAAGAGCATAAAACAGAGTTAAGAATGGTCACTTGACAACTATTAAAATTTTTTTTAAAAAAAAATACTCATAATTGAATATAATTCATTATTTTAAGATTTTTAAAAATTGACAACTAAAATTTTACTGAAACTAAAATAAAAGGGTTCAAATTCTTTTTATTTTATTTTATAAATTTATTGTTCTAAAATATGATTAATCATTCAAAGTCTATGCATGATTATCTTTGTTAGAGATAATATTAATTATTTTTATAAAATAAATTATTTATATTTTGATTTTTGATTAAAAGTTTTGCAGGTTAGGTACATTCCCTTAATTTCCTTTGGTACTCAAGAACGTTTTATTGACATTCCACCAATTAGGAAATATTTACAAATTTTCTTCAAGTTTGGAGGAGTACTTGAACTTATAAACTATGAAGTATCGATACTTCAAAACAAGTGTCGTATCCGTGTTAGACACACGGATACTTCGGGGACATGCGGACACTTTGGGGACATGTATGGGACATACCACATGGCGTGTCCCTTTATTTAGTGAATATATTTTTAGGGGGCACGCCGCCACTTCGGGGACATACTAAGGATATGCCAAATTGTCTTTTCTTCTATTTTATTTAGTGCTTTTGATAAATGTTGAATGTTTATTATTTTTTTCTTAGATATAAAAATACTTAATAGATCATCCATAAAAAAGATATAAACTGCAAGTGTTATTTTACAAGTACTTTTTCTTTACATATAAAAAAAATATAGAATTAGAGTTAGTTTTTGTTAATATTGATTATTTGTGGATGTAATATTAATCTAAATAGAAAATAAAAATATATGAAAATATATTTTATTACCGTGTTCCCAACATGTCCTCGCCATGTCCGTGTCATTATTTTTCTGAAATCGCGGTGTCCCATGTCCGCATCTGTATCCGTGTCCATACTTCTTAACTTATAAATTTTCTTAATATATGTTTGAATTAGTGTATTTTGAGGCCATGAAACAGATTCACTTTAGTATTACTTTATCCAGTGACAATGTAATCATATTTTGTGAAATTAAAATTTTAAAGTAACTTCTAATTACATAGAATAATTTTATCAATTCATATTAAATTAGGTTTATAATTACATAATGTCAACAACTACTAAATTTATAGAAACATAAATGTTGAAAATCAAGCCACGTGCCTTTTCTTTATTCCATATGCTTTCGGTTGATTTATTTATTTCATGCTTTCGGTGGTTAGTTATTATAATAATATGTAGTGGCCTCGTGGCCTGCTGGTTTGTGTTTTTGGCCTCCTATTTAATGGAGTAGTATTGTAATGCTTAACAGATTGAAATAAAAAGAGTCTATGTTTATGTTTAGTCTTTCAATCACTCTCTCTCTCTCTCAATATTAATATTTTTTCATTTCAATCACTCTCTCTCTCTCTCAATATTAATATTTTTTCATGGTGACAATGTAATCATATTTTGTGAAATTAAAATTTTAAAGTAACTTCTAATTACATAGAATAATTTTATCAATTCATATTAAATTAGGTTTATAATTACATAATGTCAACAACTACTAAATTTATAGAAACATAAAAAATAAAAAAAAATAAAAAAATCAAGGATATTAAGTTCAAATTTGAACCCAATAAGTAAAATTCTTGATTGCAGCACTGGCCGCAAACGGCAACACATAAAACTGTAAAATAGGATAGTTAATTTTTGAAAGACACAATAACAAATAAAGTCATTACATTTGAGTAAAATCTACTTTGATATTAAATAAAGGCTTGAATATGCATATTTATAATCGTATGTACATATAATTAGTAACTAATGAAGAAAACATTCATTAGTTCATACAAATGTTGAAGACCAAAAAGATTTTAAAATGTAATTACTAGAATTTAAACAAAACTTACAAACAAGTAGAAATACATTCCAAGAGCTTGTAAATGAAGTCCCCCTACAAGCATCTCAAGAAGGAACTGAAGTTGCAATTCTAAAGTGAAATCACCACAAAAACTAAAGGTCCTTGCAAGTGAGATATACATATAGATGCTGAAAATTGAAACATTCAAGCATTTTTCAATTCACTTTAAATTCTATAAACAAACTCAATTTATCCTTGGAATACAAGGTTCTCTAAAGATTATCTTTTGGTTTCGTTGTCTTTGTTTCTCTTCGGAAATATTTCTTCTTTATTTGGGCATAGACCTCTAGAGACAACTGCAGCCAAGCTGAGTAGAGCAACGACTAATAGACAGTAGGCAGGTAAAGTGAGCTTGACATAATATATCCTTCCCATACAGAACATGAAGTTACTTATAAAATGTACTACCACTCAAAATGTCACTCACAAGTTCCCTCATGGGCTATTACATTAATTATTTTGTAAATCCTACATGCCACGATCAAAAGTGTGAGGCCATTATACTCTCACAATCTGATGCAATGCCTAGACTAATACAACTTCAACACCAAAATTTTATGAACTTTAAAAACAAAGGCTAAGATACTTGGAACTATTTTTTGTAGCATGCTTAATCACTTAAGCATTCAGTCACCCTCAAGCACTTGCTTAGAAAAAAAATTGACAACACAAGAATTAATATAGGTTAATTTGACAGCACAAAGATTAAAGTTCAACAACTCAGTCGTCCTTATCCTCAACCATAAGATACTATTCATGAATTAGGGCTAAAACTACATACATATTTTCCTCCTCAGACCTTGCTTTAGCAGCAGTCTCATGCACTAAGATGCCCTTTTCTTTTTTAAATTATGCTATTCAGAATAAACCAATCTGACTTGAACCGAGACCATCCAGGGCAAACAGTCTGGAACCCATGCCTTACTACATCAAATAACCCAGACCATCCATGGCAAACAGTCTGGAATAGCACTAACTTGGCTCTAAATAGTTAAGGTAGAGCTATTCCACTGGGCATTGCCGAAATGACAAATGCCAAAACTATAATTTGGCATGCTATAGTGCCAAAATGCCAAATTTTGCAATATTGGACCACTGGTGCAAATGACAAGCACAATCATTTTTTGCTAGCCACTTTTATTACCATTGATCACATGGATTCCCTTACTCATTGATTCTCTCTCTATGATTGATCTCATCCATTGATCCCGTCATCACATCCCAAAAAATTTCACCCAACCCCTCTCACCATTTCTAACACACACACACACACACTTCCCCCGTCTCACGCAATTGGTGACACTCTATTATACCTTTCTTACTTCCAATTATCTGTTTTTAGAGTCATTTTGGTTTGTAGAGTTCTATATAGCTTTTATAGCCTTTTGTTGGGCTGTTCCTCCTCTTTTGGGGTGTATAAAAAAGTATACCTCTTTGTTGCCTCATATAGTGTGTCAATGCTTTGGTGTCTGTCCAAGGCCCCCCTTCATGTTAAGTTGCTCTAGTACTGCCGCTTTTGTTTTTTCTAGTGTAACCTACCTTGCGGGTAGTGCTTTGGAAGCTTTCTTTCTTCTTGTTGGCTGTCTTCTGATGTTAGAAGCAAGATTTGCTTCTTTGATTGTTCCCTAGAATGTTGAGTTGTTCAAGGCCCCCATGTGTCTTCATATGTGGCCCTAGAACACTTTTGTGGTGCCCAGGGGATTTTAGGTTTGGTAGCTTGTTTATTTTGTTTTCTCAGCTTCTCAAGCTCCTCTGTTTAGTTGGTTAGGGCTTGGGGTATTCCCTTGTAAATCTATAAGTTCATAGTTTTGTTTTATGACTTAGGGTTAGTTTGGAAAAATGGTATTTTAGTAACATTTTAGCTAAAATATGAGGTGAAAAAAACTAGTATGTGTAGAATGATTTTTTGAATTTTTACGAGAAAACATGCAAAAAGTAGAACGAAAAAGGAATCATCAACTTTTTGTATAGTTTTTAGCTTTTTAACCTTTTTAGTGACTTTGTAACTTTTTGACTTTTTTAGTTGGTTGCCAAACCAACCCTTACTCACGCAAAAGAAACAAAAAAAAGAAAAAAAGAGAAGAAAAATATCTAGTCTCACAATTTGCATCTCTCTCTCTCTCACGATCTATCTTTGCTTTTCAACAATCAATCTTCGACTTACATCTTTGTCTCCATCGCCAACAACCAATCTCCATTTCTCTCACAATATCAAATCAAATACAAAGATGCATATAGTTCTAATCTATAAAGGCGTTACACAGAGGACACAACTTTCATCACAATCTTAACATGACCTTCATCACAAACACACACCCATTCACACAAGTAGGCCAGTTTGAATTTTGTGATCTTTCTATTTCTTGATCAAGAGAAATGCTAATGTTAAAATGTTGTGTCCAATTTTAGAAAAATGTGTTAATTTTTGTTAAGTTTTTGTCGTGAAATTTGTTGAAATTCTTTCAAGTTGTGAAATTTGTTGTAATAGTTTTTTTTTTCTCCCCCCCCTAAAGAAAGGTGGGGTGGAAGTGTAATACCCCTGTTCCGTAATGTCCTAATTGGTCCTTAATATGAATGTGATTATGTGTTTTGACATGATTGTGTGCACCATTATGTGAAAATATGTGATTTTGAATTTCTATCTGTTCACCGTAGGAATATCTGTTTGATTATCTGCTTTGGAAATTAAATTGAAGGTCTTATCGGCCACAGAACCCGAAATTGATTGTGCCATTGTGATTGGCATAATTTTTAGAGCCTACAGTGAAATTTAATTGAAAAATTGATTCGGACTAGATTAAATTGATTAGTTAATGAATTAGCGCCATATTATTTATTATTATTAAACTTGACTAGTGGGCTTATACATAAGGGCCATTACACTTCAATTCCTTCCCTTTTTAATACTTTGACTGATATTGAACACAAATAGAGAGAGGGAGGGTCGGCCTTCGAGAGAGAAGGAAGAGAGTTGTGTGGTTTTGGCTCGAGACTTGGGAATCTTGAAGATTAAGTCCAAGAATTGACTAGAGTTGGAAGATTAAGGCTCCTAGGTGAGTAACCAACCAATGATTCATGGATTTTTGTTTGTAATTTGTAAATTCAAAGTTGAATGATGCTAAGGAATATGAAATGAGTTGGTCTGGAAGAATTGGGAGTCAATGTATACATGCATGTAGGAGATTGCCATGGATTGCATGTTTAAGCTTGAAATTTGTATGAGCTAGCATGTATAATGCTGAATATGGAGGTTTGGGCGTTAATCTTTACATACATGTATAATTTTCATGGATTCCACAATAATAGGTGTCACTTGCATGTTTTGAAATGGGATTGAAGTCAAAAATCTGCATGCATGTTTGATTTTTGAAGAAATGAAGCCTATATGAAGTTTGAAACATATGGGTTTTTGCTCATGATAAAGAAATGAGAGTTGATTGAGAATTAGATGTTGATTTTGAATAAATTGATGTAATAACCTTACACTCTCATGCAATATAATGTGCTAATATGCTTTTGGGACCAAAATCATGAATTGAGACCTTTGAACATCAAATTTGAACTCCAAGAACAGTTCTGGAATTTCCAGAAAGTTTGATTACCGCTCGAGCGGGAAAACCGCCGCTCGAGGGTGAATTTCGTGCTCCCAGCACTTTTTGCAGACATGGTGTCCGCTCGAGCGAGGAAGTTCACGCTCGAGCGTGGAGCCATGTAGAGAGGCCTTCCGCTCGAGCGCTAGAGTTCGCTCGAGCACTAGAGTTCGCGATCGAGCGTAATTTTGAGCCTCCAGTACTTTTGCAGGCCTTAAGGGTCCGCTCGAGCGGGGAAGTCCACGCTCGTGCGGGGAAGCGGGGACCGTGCTTTCTGAAATTTTGAAAGTGCATTCTGTGTTATGTTTTCCGTTCTCTTTCACTTCTAAACACTCTTAGGCATACATTGAGCATTGTAATGGAATTAAAGAGATAAGAATGAAACCTAAAGAGGAAAATGTGAATTTTGAACGGACTGAATTGTTAGTGACCCTTTTATGTTCATGGCATGTGTAGGGTCGAGTTCTAGGGCGAACCAATCAACCGATCACTGTGAGTAATATCTTATTAAGATATTTGAAATATACTGTTGTCCAATGGTTTACTTATATGTAAGTTATGTAAGTTCATTAGTTTGAGTGGCGGACAACGATTGACATAAATGATTGGGCCGAAGGCCGATTGACATAAATGATTGGGCCAAAGGCCGTTTGCTGTAACTGTTTCAATAATTGCTTATGTATCTTTTTATTGATATTATTCACTGGGCATTCGCTCACGCTCATTCATGTACATGTAGGTGAGCCAAGAGACGTCCAAAACCAGCCCCGGTGAATTATGAGAAACAGTCAGAGTTCTGAAGAGTCAGCCCAAAAGTCTCACGCATGAGACTGTCTTCGCCGTTTTGTCCTCTGTTTATAGTTTTGTTTTGTTGGCGAAATCATCGGACCATTGTTGTATATAAGTCTTGGGTTTGACTGACTTAAATCTGGATGATCCTGTATGTACAGTGTTTTATATTAGTACACATTCTGATGTGAGTTATTAACATATAAATGTTTAAAATGTTATGATGTGCATATAAGCACAGCTCTATGGACAAAGTTTTAAATTGCTTCCGTTTGGCCCTTTTTACTCTGATGAGTTTTGGCTTATTTGGTTTAAGGCCGTAGGTAATCTCGTGATTATTGGCCGGTTATGGCCTTAGCCCATAGGGGCGGTTTATAATTGTGACATGTCTGGATTGAGTTTTGGTTATTTATTATTGGACTATTGTTCAGTTGTTCAATGTGATTGGATTCGTGTTTAGGCTTACGTGTGCCTTGGGCTAAGTCCCTGTGGGCCACGGCCGGTCATGCCCGGATTTGGGGTGTGACACTTAGCCCATAGGGGCGGGTTCGGGTCGTGACAGGAAGACTGGGAATACAGTTAAGAAGTTGAGGTGGCATATTTGGCAATTGCTTTGGCACAAGATTAGACATTGTAGACATTTTTGTAATTTGAAGAGCTTTTAACTTCAACTCTTTGCCAAATTTTAGCTATAGCAACTACTATGGTAGACTAAAGGAGTGCTTCTTGAGCGAAGAGAAGGAATGGTTGATGATAAAATAAGAAGACAAAGCTATTATATTTGGTAGCAGGAGGGCTTTCTATGAAGTGACGCCTCACGTTGCCTAGGTACCAAATTAATGTGCAATATATAAGCATGAGGCGTACCATCACCCCAATAGCAATAGGTACCTTTTGGGGTTGCATTTTACCCAAGAATGTGTAACATGGCATCAAAAGCCACGAAACCCAGAGATGGGTAGGGTGCATGTCCTTGGAATACAAGTGGTAGGTGCTACCAAGTGCACTATATGAGCATGAGAGCACCCTCGCCTCAGCTAGCTTTTGGGTTTGAGTCCCATGACCATGCAAAACTTTCTGCACCTCTTACATAGAAAAACAAATATAAAAACTCTCCTTTCCACATGCCACAGGGTTGAATTTAGTAAAATATATTCATAACAAATAATAGCATTGTAAAATACATAATCTTGTATGCAATGTATTGGAATGTGCATTGTGCATACTCGTGTCCATATCCAATACTACAAAAAACGAAAATTTGTTCTTATGATCCAGTGATCATGATTTAATGAATTTTTGCTGATGAAAAAAAAAAAAAAAAGGTTTAATGAAAATTTATTTCAAAATCAAAAATTTCAAAAGCTAACCAGTAAATTAACTTGGATCGTACATGCTTCACATTTATGATTAATTAATTACAACCAGATGCAATATGTCAATTCAAAAGAGATAAAAGAAACCAGAGATACACAATAAATTCAGATACATCAACAAATCAAATATCAAACCAGATATCAACCAAAAAAATAAGAGGCTAACCTCTATAATTGTACACTAATTGCTGCATTGGATTGAAATTTTTGAAGGGCCTGTCACAGAAACAGCCCAGCCCTCGAAGCAGAAGTGGGGTTAGCCCAACAATCATATTTAACTGCTTTTTTCCATTTTGAGAATCAACCACCATAATATTATATTTACACATATTAATAATTTAATCCCAAAAACTTGGAAAAAATAAAATAAGTTGAACAACACATAAACCAATAATCGAACAAATAATGTATATGCCCATAAGATTGGCAATAAGATTTTTTATACATGAATAGCATCAATAAATTTTGTCCTGTTTTGTGGTGGATTACTGTATTTGTAACAGAACTACAAAATATGTGATTTTAAGTATCTAACGTGTCAGTATACAGTGGAATGGTGAAAAATGGAGCATAAGGCACACCTGGTTCTTGTAAAGATCCTCATCGAAGATGTCTTCAATAGACCATGAAAACATCAAATCAGTGAAGCTTAAGTCATAAGGAACCCCTCTCATCATCAATTTCTCACTCTTTTCTATCTCCTTCTTTCACTTGGTAATGTATTGCTTATCTGAAACAACAAAAAATCAAAACCCCATTTCACTTTAAACCCTTCTATAAAACCTCACAACAATGTGAGAGAGAGAGAGAGAGAGAGAGAGATGTACCACACCCCCATTTCACTTTAAACCCTTGTATAAAACCTCAAAACAATGTAAATGAAAGATAAAGGGTATTAAGATAGCATGAGAAAGAAATGGGTTTTCTAAGTTATGAAGGAAGGAAGTGAAAAAGGAAACGGAAAAGAACCTAGGAATCTCTCAGTACAAGCACTTATGAAGGAAGGAAGTGAAAAGGAAATGGAAAAGAACCTAGGAATTTCTCAGTGCAAGCACTTGTCTGCTAAACTCTCTCTGTCTGTATGTATAAGATGATCTGTATACTATATATATAAATAAAGTTAACAAAATCCAATGATAAGTGAGAAAGCATAAGAAAAGGGAACAAAGCAGAGTTCTTTTTAGACCCAATGAAAAAGAATCATATTCTCCCATTGACGAAGAAAATCTTCTCATCTTCTTTTCCCACTACACTACTCGCCAGAACAGAGGACTACTTCCTTCCTTCACAAGGG